GAAAAAAAAGAAGAAGAAAAAAAAAAAAAAGTGGTGCTCCCGCTTGCCCCGGAGGCATGCGGCGAAGAGGAGCAGCCTGCCCGGGCCGGCTGCGGGCGGGAGTGCGGGGCTGAGCCGGCAGCGCTCGCCCCCCGCTAGCCCGGGCAAGGGCAGCGGGGCCGGGGCGGCCTCGGCGCATCCTGCGGCGCCGCCGGGCCGGGCCGGGCCGGGCCGGGCCGGGCCACCTGCGGAGCGGAGCGGAGCGGAGCCGAGGCGCGCGCGGCGCTAGGATGAGGGGCATCCTCTGCTTCTGCACGCTGGTCCTGCTGGGTGAGTAGCGCTGCGTGCCCCCCGAGGAGGAAACTTTCTGCTGGTGAGGCTGTTTTTACCTGACACCGCTTCGGGCGCGGGGTGTCTGTCCCACCCTCCTCCGGCATCCCAGGGGAAAACGCTAGTGGTGGGGAGGAAATCCTGGGGGTGCCTTGTCTGTGTTTATTTTTGTGGGGGGAGGAAAGGGGAGCTTTCCAGGTCCCTTTTAGTTAAAGGCTGGCTGCTGCTCTGGCTGGATGTACTTTGAACCCCGCCGCACTGGGATCTTTCCTGATGTCGCTCCTGCTTGCAATGGAAATGGCTAAATAACTCAAATAACCCACTTCTTGCTTGAGAAAATAAGCTGGTGGAAGGCGGGGGGGGCCGGGGGACAGAACAGATTTTGCAGGTGCCGAGCGGCCACACAGCTTGGTGAGGAGGTTGGGGAAATGTCAGGGGCAAAACCGCTGGTTTCTGCACCGGTGGGAGGGGGCTGGAGGTGTGGGAGCTCCGTCGCTGCCGCCCTGCGTGTGCAGCACCTTGCACGGTGCCAGGGTGTGCGTCCGGACCGTCCGTCTGACCTGCATGTCTGTACGCAGGCTGCGCTTCCCGCGGCAGATTCCCGTGCGAGCGGGGCTGCCCCTGGCTCTTTGTGCACCGGCAGCGCGGGGTTCAGGACCCCCCAGCTCACCCTGTGCCCCTAAGGTTTTCAAAAGCTGCAACTGCTGGTGCGGGACACGCTGCCTCCCGCRGCGAGCAGCCGTATCCCCTTGGATATGGTCCACAGCATCCCTGCTTTCAGCATCCCGCTCGCATCCCGCTTCTCAGAGCAGGCAGTTTGTGATGCCCGGGGCTCACCCGTGTCCCCAGCAAGAGACGTTTGGAGGTGCTGGTAGCAGCAGGCAGGCAGCACTGACTTGCTTTGGCTGCTTGACAGCTTCTTTTAGGGTGCTTTTTTTAACCATCTTTTATTTCAAATGTATTTGTTTATTTTTTTTTCCCTGTGCTTCTCTGAGACAGAGAACCCAGCAATGAGCTAATGCTTAAATAGACCATGAGAGRGGTTGGATACACTGGTGCTTTCTCAGGTGGCTGCTGCATAGAGGAATTGTCTTGAGATGTGTCACTGTAGCTGGGACCTCCTGTCCCTCACGGAGTATCCTGGTCATGGCATGGCTCCTCTGCACCCGGTGCATCCCAGGTGCCAGCCAGGGTCCCAGGATAGAGCTCCAGGAGGTTTCTCCCTCCATGAGGAAGGCTCTGTGGAAGCTCCAGGTAACTCCTAGTGCCAGCTCTGCCTGTCACTAGATGTCACCAGCAGCAACTCTTGCAAGTCCCGACAGCACTGGGAGACTTTGGTCCCTCCAGAGGGTGCCACGTCCAACCCTGGGGCATTTCATTCCAGGGGGCTGGAGGATCCCAGCGGCTGAATAGATCCCAGTTTGGGATGGCTCCACCTTGCAGGGGCTGGGGGTCGTGTCCCAGCCTTGCTCAGAGCTAAGGATTGCAGGGCCTCTGGGGTGGCAGCCCAGGTCTCTGCAGAATCCATTTTCCAAGTGGGTCAGATTGACTGAGTCACTGATTGACTGACTGATTGACTGACTGGGAGGCTGATTGATTTTCTCTAGAGAAAGTAGATGAAAGAAAAGAGCTTCTGCAAACGGCCAGCGCTTCACCATCAGCAGTGCAATTGGGATGTGTGGGTCAGTTTTAAGGACATATTCATTGCTCCTGGTCCGAGTCGTAGCAGAACCATCAGCTAGTTTTCAGCTTTTGGCSTCTTGGTCTCCAGAAAACCTTTGAACTGGCATTTGACCCCTGCAGCCTCGGCACCATTCCCAGCAGACACCATCCAGGCGGCCGTCGTCCTCCTCTCTAGATGTTTTCCAGGTGGGCATGCAATGGACAGACAAGGGGCTGCACATTTGAAGGTGCCTGGGGAGATGTCCTGCAGGAACAGGGAGTGCTGCGGTGGAGACCACTCAACTTGCAGCTCCTCACACTGCGAGGGTGACAATTCCCTGCTTCGTCTGTGCTGGGTTGGAGCACATGGGGCATAGTAAGAGACCCTCACTGTTGTGTCTCCCCTGCTTTTGAGGGGCTGCYGGGTGGACGAGGCAACACTTGGGGGGATGACGTCTTTCCGAGGTGGAACTAGGCAGCATCACCCTCATCCAGCATGGACAGAAAGCTCCTCCTGACACTTCTTTCTTTATTTGTTTTGAATGCTTTTCAGCCAGTTCAGATCCTGATATGTCTCATGAGCAGGTACACAAATGCCAAGGGCAGCTACATGGACATGGCAGGAGCACACAGCTTGGAACAGGGATGTGGCTTTGGTGAAGCTCCTTGCTGCCTCAGTGTCCCTAGATACCAGGGGACACTTGAGTTGTGTTACTGGCCAGAAATCCCCCTCGCAGGGCACGGGTGAGGCACTAGAAGGCTTCATGGAYGATCAATGCTCTAGCAAGCCCCCGAAGCATCCCCTCATCCCTCACGTAGTGGCCAGAGGACACATCAGCTCCAGTGCTAACGACAGAATAATTAAAGGATGAGAATGAAAATCTTGACTGGAGCTGAAAAGAGCAGTTGGTTGCAAAGCCCTCGTGTCCCCTGGAGTCAGATCTGGAYCACGCAGAGCAAAACCTCTGGCAAGGGAGGACTGGGGTATCTTCTGCTGACAAGCACTGTGTTTAGYGGGCAGATTTTAACTGCGCTCAGTTGTTAGCATCAATTGCAGCATATGTTTCCCACGGACTCTTCACAGACGCAATCAAACGCGAGAGATCGTCTGGCAGATTTTCACCTGGTTTTGGGACTGCGGTCCCAGGGGGAGAGCCGAATCTCTTGCAAAACGCATGTGTGACAGAGGGGAAAGCTGCTTAAATTAGTGCCTTTGTCAGTTCTGACAGGAGCCATCCATTATTTGCATCAATAAGAATGTGATATTTATGTCTCTCTGCATTGTCTCGGGGAAGGAATAAAACTTCTCCCTCAACAGGCTGTCCTCAAGCCCCATGCTTATTCCTCAGCAAGGATATTGGTGACGCATTTTCACCATACCCAGAAAATGTTTTTTTCCAGCGCTCTGGAGCCTTAAATAATAATTACTGCTGGGTAAAAATTAGTACCGGTTAAGTCGGATAAATAGTGTGAATTAATGTGTGCGGTATTTTATTCTGCTTTTGGGGACAGAAATGTTTTCTGTGTTCTCCCAGTAACTTTTACTCAAGTCTTCCATTGTTCCTGAGATTCAGTTGATTGTTTTTTTACACAAACAACTTGTCTCATTAAAAAAAAAAAAAAAAATCAGATGAAAAATTATAAAAATGAATATCTAATATGGTTGAAGTTTATAAAAAATTCAGTAAAAATATACTGCTACCAAGGTTTCCGTTTCCTCCTTGATTCCCTCCAGTGAACTTTATTTTTTCTTTGCTTATATATATAAATATATATATATCTTAAAAAGGATCCCTTTCTTCTCAATCCAAAAGCGGAAGAGAACAAATTCAAAGGTGATTCTCCCAGTAAAACATTTTTTTAGACAGAAATATTTCACTAAAAAAAGAAATAAAAAGGAAGGAAAAAAAAAGGAAGAAAACTATGAAAAGCTTGTTCCTGTCAATCTTCAATTGAGTACAGGTACACTTTTTTTATATCAACCCCTATGGATTCCCTTCACCTCTTTTGGCCATCATAACTTCAATGATTTGAGCATGGGAGTGTTGAGGTTGGACTCCTAGTGAGAGCAGACTTGCAAAATCAGGGCAAAGAGGATAAGTTTGAAGCTATAGATGGATAAGTGGAGTTGTGGATGGATATATTGGATCCTGCAGATGGACAGTGGGGAAACTGTGTCKGCTGTGGCTTGCTTTGGGGAATTGTTGGTGTAAGAGCCCAGGAAGGTTTGTCATGGTCACAGTGAGGGAGAAGGACCTGGATCCGCTTTAGGGTACCCTCAGCCATTCTGATGTGTACCTAAACTTCTGGCTTTGAGATCAGAGGATAATTCARATTGGAAGAGATGGTCAGATCTGCTCAGGGTAGGGTCAACTTTAGAGTATCTCAGATGAGGCTGCATGGGGCTTTACCTGTCCTAGTGAACCCTGTTCCCCGAGGGATGGAGACTGCAAAACCTCTCTGTATTCCACTGGTTGGATATCCTCATGGGGAAAAAGTGCTTCCTTACATCCCATTGGACCCATCCTATTCCATCTCCAGTTCAGAACTGTCTTCACCACATCCTGCCACTCTCAAGACTCCTCTTTTCTCCTCCCTTCATGCAAATCCCTCCCTCCCTCTGTAGGCAGCTGCTCACTGCACACATTCCTCTTTCTGTCCAAGGCCATCTGGGAGGCCGTTTGCATGAAAGATGTAGTAAAAAAGAGTCRTGCAGTCGTTTTGATTTATTGAACCCAACTGGAAAATCCTGTCTGTGATAGCTGTCTTTGCAGAGCGCTTTGACAGGGTGGTTAGCAGCATTTCCCATGCTACTGCCAACTTATGGGTCATTCTGTCATGCAAGTGCAGGCAGCTGTTTTCAAGCTCGTGGGTCCATGATATTGAGGAGAAAAGAAGAGGCTCARGTTGTCTGAGGCTTCTTCCAAATGAAGGATCAAATTGCTCTTTGACATGTTGCCGGGCCCAGTCATGTACTCTTTGCCCCAAGGGGATATCTGTCCGCTCTGGCTGATGGATTTTAAGCTGGTCCAGATGCTAAAGGGCTGGGAGTTAAGATCAGAGAAACCAGTGGGCTTTACTTGTCCTGCCTGTGCCTGTTACTCATCCAGAGAAGAGAAAAGCTGAGCATATATTTCAAGCTGAGATTTTAAGGGACCCTGTCTATGTGATCTGGGCTCTTTGGAGACCTAGGGATGAGCTTGGCCAAGTAAAAGCTCAGGGCAAGCCCTGGGGTGAATGTGAGCTCAAGGAGGGTGAACTAAACACAAACTCCACACAGATGTTTGGGCTTTGCTCTGAGCGCTGCAGCAGGTGAGGCTGGACGATGCCTTTGCAGC